TCAAATTTTTATGTGATTTATTTGAGGACTTTAGAGTGCTTTCTGGGTACAACTTAAAGAATAAAAATTATTCGTCTATGTGTCTAATAGCTCTCTATAAATTTCATGATTTTCGGACATATATATAAAGCGTTATGGCCATTTTAGTATAGATTGGTCTTGAAGTATCACTGCTGGAATTTTTGAGAAAAGAATGGACAAGGAATTTCGAGTTTTAAGAAAAGAAATTTTCAAAATTTCATGAAGGAAACTATGTATATTTACTTGAATCAATTTAATTAGGGTGAATATTTAACCTAATATTTTTAGTAGACACCTAAGCAATGCACTAAATGAATTAATAGCCAACTCACCCATTTTTGTCTCAAATCTGCCACCTTTCTCTCATTACTCACCATTAACTTTCCACTCTTTCAAATTAAATCTAGCCATTTGTACACTTACTTAGACCAAGACTTTGAGCATAAATATATATAGAAAGAGTGCAAATGATAAGAAAATTTTAGGCAATTGTAGCCACCAAATTGGGAGAGAAAAACGGTAAACAAGAGAGAAAGAGGAAAGGAAAAAGAAAAAGAAAAAGAAAGAAAGAAAAGAAAGAAGGGAAAAGTTTAACCAACCTTTAGGAAATTCAAGCAAGGTAAGTAGGTTTCATTTTTGGTTGATTAATGTCTTAAGTTATTTTTTTAGTGTTTATTTCATGGGTTTGTAATAATTGTTCTATGGATTGCTATGGTTGTTTGTATTGGTGTTAGGCTTGCTAAATTATGATGGATTTATATGTTTTGTTGTCATGCAAAGCTTGTTTGATAGATTTAAATGTGTGGATGGGTTGGAAAGGAAAAAGAAAGAAAAAGGGTATGGACTGAATGGATTGAACTTCACCTAGGTTTGGTAAGCTTAACTTAAAAAGAAAAAGGAATACACTTCTAGAGTTTCCCTAGGCTAAAACCATTTGGCCAAGTGGGAAAATGGAGAAAGAATTGATCTTTTGGGAAAATTAAAAGCCTAGAATATCATGGTAACTCAATTAGGAATGGGTTAATAGTTTAGGGTGAAAATAAATTCACTAGACAAAAGAAAACAATCCACGACCATCTTAACAACCCATCCGACCTAACTAAAAGAAAAATAGGGTTTTGGACTTCATTAGGTAAATTGGACATTTGATCACTAAGTGTGGGTTCCTTGGTGGACCCTAAGATTTAAATCTCCTCGGTAACTCTTCTAAGTATGAGTTAGTAAGTCATTAAAAAAGGAAGTGACCTAAAAATGAAAAAATAATTTCTTGCTTATTTTGGGACCATTTGGCCTAGGAGAGAAAATGATTAACATTGAATCCCTTTTATATAAATAGAGATCAATGATTACAAGACATATAAATAAGGTAATGGAAAAAGAGAATTCAAGAAAAATCAAGATTAAAACCTAGACCCTTTTATGAGTCGACTTCGACTACTAAGACTAAATGTTCGGATTAAGCAAAAATTTAGCTTAAGTATGTCATGTATAAATTCTTAGAATTAACCGATCTCATAAACTAAGTTATATATAAAAAATCGAGCCTAAACTTACCCGATATACAAAAAGGAAAAACTCATAAGTACGAAATAGGTTTATGCAATGAATGCAACCGATGAATGGAAATTGTATTCTTATTTTGAATACTTTAAATGGTACATGAAACACCTATGAAGTTCCGAGTGTGCGTCGAACACGGGAACGGTCCGAGAAGAAAATGGTGATAGCATAATTAGTCGAATGTGTTAAACATAATACCATGTGCATCACGTGCATTTGGGGGTGATGTGAAATCAAGAAACATCATTGAGTCATGAGATAAAACGGTTTAGTAACCGAACCGAATAGAATGGGTAACAAGCATGAAACCATGTGCGTGCTCTATTACTAACACCGTTAAGCGAGGGATGATTCCACTAGTTGTGTGCTACAACGAAGGGTAATTCCGTTGTGAGCGGTAGGTGATAATGAGATCACCGAGAGAGAGTAATAGAGCGAGTAGGTGATAACGCGATCACCGACGGATGGAACGCACGAGCTTGCTAATACCTAGGGTACCCCCATTAAAAATGGATGGGTAGAATAGGAAACATAACTTCATTGCATATCACGTGCATCACCCTATTTACCGAGCTTCGGCTCACCTCATTGTTATTTGCATATTATGACGAGTAGCATTGATCGTAGTACCGGTAAGGACGTTATTGGATCCTTCAAAAGGGCTCGGGGATGACTAAACCTTAGGAGATTTTATTTTGTTTATTTATAATTTTGGGGTTGGGTGTCAATGAATATTTTGATGGTATTGTAAATAAATTTTGTAATTTCTTCCACTCGTTTTGTTAATATTATGTAAATTATCTTGGTTATGTTTTATTGTATGGTAAGTCCTTAATGTATAAATACACATGTGTTTAAGGTAAATTCAAAAATTGATCGTGTCGGCGTGACGCGCCTCGCCTAGTTACTCCTATTTGGGTAATAGAGAGTGAACCGGGGTGGGGGCATCACAATTCATGTTGTACAATGGCGGTGACTAAGTCACTACCATCATCGATTCTTGAACAAACTAGAGGCGAGGTCGACGAATTGAATCGAATAATAAGAGGGAAGTTGAAAATGGTGAAACGATGGCAATGAGGGGGAGTTGCCTTCGCTTGCTCTCTTCCAATTGTCCTTCGTCCAAACCCAAAAAACAACCTCCAAACTCAAAAACAACTATGAACCTAAAAGATTAAGAACACTCTAAAAATGAAACCCGGAAAGTTACATGTTTTAATTTTAAACATTAATTTATTATCAAGAATATTTTTAAATTTTATTTTAATTTTTGACAATAAGGTCGATATTTGAGACCCATTATGCCACATGTTGTTGTTTGATTGGTTATCATTATTTTTAACTTGCCATGTAAGATGAATAGTTAACGAGTGTTACAACGAGAGGGTCTCGATTAATAAATTTATAAGAATAGAAAGTTTCAATTAACCTAAAAAATAATAGAGGGTTTCAATAAAAAAAAATGGAATAGTACATGGACCAATAATGAGGTAAACCCATTCTTTCTCTTGACATTTGGACACACTATTTTATATACTTTGGTAAGGGAAAAAAAAATATACATAATCTCTCTTGCTTTGTTTAGACGAGAAAAACACTTGTTTTTTTAATTTATTTTTTATACTTTCACTTAAAAAAGCAATATAATTTTTAGTTCTATATTCGAGTAAGAGTGATAATATTTTATTTTGAGTTTCAAATCTCATAAATAGTGTAAATTTATTGAGACACGACAAAGTGACTGAACTTGTTATATCTTTGAGACGGCTTACAACATATACTTGATCCATTGCGTTAGATAAATTCTGCAGATGACACGTGATATCTCAAAAAGCAAACTCGTTGTGCCTCGAGACAATCACCTAAAAATTATGGTAAAACTAGTTTAATAGATCGGTCATCTTTATATCATGAAACATGATAACATGATTTTAATCCTTTAATTTTCTTAATGATTATGATTAAAATTTTCAATTTTTTATTCATCTTAATTTACAATGATTTATTTATTTAATATCTGAATTTTATTATTTTATTATGTTTCTTTTTATGTGTAGGAAAAACAATGTTTGCAAAATAAATGCTTCTCTAGTGTATGAGGAATTCTTTTACGTTTAAATTAACATACAAAAACAAGTGTTTGATTTGAATAAACTTAATTGCATTATGCTCTTAACGAGAGAAGATACATTTTCGTGTTTGGTTTGAATAAACTTAATTGTATTATGCTCTTAACAAGAGAAGATATATAAGTGACGATCAATTAGCAAGAGATGGAGATAAAGTGATTTTTTTTCTTTTGTTTTATGACTTTTGACTTTCACTTGAAAAATATCTATTTTTGATGTATATCTTTCTTTATTTAAATAGTTGGAGGATCTTTATGATCATGCTTAACGAGACTAATGCTACTTAAGGAACGTGTATCTACTTAAGGAACGTGTATTTTTAGTTTCTCGATAGACGGTGACCAGTGGAAATTACTGAAAACTGTCTGGGTAAAAGTGTTTTGAGTCTTCCTAAGCTTGTCGAGTGGGTTCTAGGTGTTGGTCAAAGTGTAACTATAGAGACTGGACTTCTTTTTCATGAGCATATCACAAAGCACGGTCCATTAAAGAATACGTGTGCTTACCGTGAAACGCAAAGCTCTTTTTTTTTTAAAAAAAATAATAATAAATAAAAAATTTCAATTGGGTGTTTTGTAATTTTAATAGAAAATCTCAATATTCGGTTTTTTTTATACCTTTTAAATCCAGTATCGTTTTTTTTTTTAATGGTTATCTGATTGGTATTTGTTTTCCTTCTTTTCTCTTCTCCCATTTGCTCTTTTAGTAATATAAATCTCATGGGCGGCATGAAAGGATGATTAGTAGTAATTTTTAGGTGTCACTATATATTTATAAAAAGAAACATAAGAAATTTATTAATAGTTTCACTTTTACATATTAGAATGTCAAACCAATTGTAAAAAGAATAAGGAATCTCTATTCAAATGACTAAAATGTGTTGTGTTTGTAAAAGTTTACCTATTTTATCTGACTTTGAAAAGTATTTTTGACAATTTAAGTTCTTAGAAAAAGAAAACATCACGGTGGGTTGTAAGAGAAAAATCAAGATGTTTTCATGAAACAACTATTAGAGTCAGCCAAAGGACTGCTTTATTGACTTACAAACGTGAAGGATTAAATTATAATTATCTTTAAAATACAGGGACTGAAGAATAATCAACTCAACAATTATCTAATTCTATTTGTAATTATCTAAATATAAGGACGACGCTATAAGCATCAATGACGACGGGACAAGAGTCAAGTCTGAAGCTCCTCCACTCTATAGCCGAAACGAGTGTGAGTGTGAGAGTGAGGAGAAAGTGAGATTCTCCAAAGAATTATTCTGTTATCTTTTCAACTAACAACAGTATGGAGGTTGAAACTCAACCTCTTTCTCATTTCTCCTACTCTCTCGATGAAAGAGACATTTCTCACGATTTTCCGACTCATGAAACACCGGGATTCGAAATGCCGATCGAGGAAGCCGAGGTCACCGTGTCGCGTGATTCGAACGCTCCAGAAGGAGGCGCGTGCTTGGAGAGTGCTGTTCTCAAGTTGCAAAAGGTCTACAGGGGTTACCGCACCCGGCGCAGGTTAGCGGACTCTGCTGTTGTAGCCGAAGAGCTCTGGTGAGTAATTAGTTGGTGCTTAAAAAAATCAAATTTCTCTTTTAATAATAAAAATAAAAGGTTAGGTAGCAATTATTAATTATTGGGAGATTTAATTTTTTTTATTTATGTTTGTTGGATTTTGAAGGTGGCAAGCTATAGACTATGCTAGATTGAATCATAGCACAATTTCCTTCTTCAATTTACCAGAAAGTGCGGCTTCAAGGTGGAACCGCATTAGCTTAAATGCTTCTAAGGTCTCTTTATCTCAGCTCTTTTTTTTTTTTTTTTTTAACCGTCTGCTCATTTATTTTATTAATTAAATGTCTTTGTTTCGTCTTGCCTTTGTATCTTAACACTCACATCATTTGGACTATTTCTTTGATAGGTGGGAAAGGGTTTATCTAAAGACGCAAAAGCACAAAAATTGGCTTTTCAACACTGGATTGAAGCTGTAATTACGTACTCATTATTTCATTTTCTAGAATAATTGGAGTTTTTTTTTTTTTTTTTTTTTTATCTGCGATAATTGATCTTGATGAAGCCATCCAGCCTGATATTGTTGTATTTCTTTTCTTCTTTTTTTCACAATTTGCTGATAAATATATAATATTATGATAATTAGATTGATCCAAGGCATCGATATGGGCATCTCTTGCATTTTTATTATGAGGAATGGTGTAAGGCAGATTCTGGCCAGCCGTTCTTTTACTGGTAATCCAATTTTGCTTTTCACCTTTTGCTATATGATTTTTCAGTTTTTTTCTTTCTTTAATTTTCTATGGAGTAAAAATTGATTCTCCATTTTCAAAAGTTAAACCATATTGGATCTGCACGCTTTAAAAAAAAAAAAAAAAAAAAATTAATGTCAAATCTTTAAATATTTTTCTTATCAAGATGTAGTTATAGAGTGAAAATGAAATTGTACCCTAATTATCATAGAAGGATAATTGATATCCTTCATCTTTCTACATGTAGGACAGTAGGAGTACTTTTTTTTTTAGTAGTTTTAGAGGCATAACAATGCCCCTATATAGTCGTACTTGTAGAAACTTGATTTGCTAGCTAAACGTGTATCCTAATTTACTCTGTTTAGGGTGGACATAGGAGATGGCAAAGAGCTCGATCTCAAAGAATGTCCAAGGTCGAAGCTTCGAGAACAATCCATCAAGTATCTGGGACCTGTATGTGCACCCCTACTCAAATGCTCGGAACAAAAATCCTATAGTGATATTGAAGAGTGTAGTTCCTAACATCCTGCCTTTTGTTTTTTACTTGATTTTGAACCAGCAAGAGAGAGAACATTTCGAGTATGTCATTTTTGAAGGCAAAATCACTCACAAACAAACAGGAAATAGCCTTGATACATCCAAAGGAACTCAAAAGGCAAAGTGGATCTTTGTTATGAGCACCTCTAAGAGGCTATATGCTGGTGAGGTAAGAGGTTCATTGATAGGAACAAACTCTATAGCTCTCTCATAACTCTAGTGCTCCTATTTATTCTAGAAAAAAGAAAAAAAAAAAAACTGATACATCATTGGTTCCATCCAGAAAAAGAAGGGAACGTTCCATCATTCAAGTTTCCTGGCTGGGGGTGCTGCGGTAGCTGCTGGAAGGCTAGTGGTAGAGAATGGTATTCTTAAGGTATGTGGATCCGATCACTGACTGTGAAATTAGTAATAGTGGCCTTTTTGGTATTGAATTTTCCTATAAAACTTGTGTGTTTGTGTATTAGGCACTGGTATTACATGAAATCGGTGTTCTTTTCTAATTTCAAGAGTCATTGCGGCCATCCATCCATGCATTTCCTCAGACCAAGTTTCAAAATTCATCTTCAGAACAGGATTTGCCTACACTAGAGATATAACGAATTCCACCATTACTTCATAATGTATCTTAAGAAATAACGAAGGGTTGCACATAAGGATGAGTGCTGGTTGATTTAAGTCAAAAAACTGAATCGAATTGAAGATTTCGGTTCAGTTTTTGTTGTTTCTTTTTTTTTTAAATCTAACCGAATTTAATTTGATTTTTAAAATTATTTATTTATTTTTCACCAAAAACCAAATAGTATATACATATTGAAAATGCATTTATATCTATATATATAATTTAAAGTTAAGAAACCATAAAACACTCCTTTATTTATTTACTGCTAAATAAATTTTATTAATGATTTATGGTTATATTAGTTGACTTGGTTGTTTGATGCTAATTGATTGAAACTTCGAAATGATATTTCTTTTTTTAGAATAGAATAATAAAAATTGATTGAATCATGATGTCATTTTTATATTTAAAAAACAATTCAATATCGAAAAACCAAATAAAAAATCAAAATTTTTATTTAAAAAACACAGAAATACTTAAAATCAGATTAAGTTAGCCAAACACCAAAATGAATTAATCAAAATCGGAACCGACTGCTTGCCCCTAGTTTGCACATACATCCATAGTTGCTGTTAGATTATGCACTCACTTGTTGGCTGACTTTCACGAGTGAAACTAAGATTTAATTCTGTTTAATTTTTACTATTCACAAATAATAAGTCATAATTATTTTTTTTATATTAGATTTAGGTTGGTTTGGTGTAAGAAAAAGCCTAAGCCTAAGGGTGTTTTAGCATTTGTTTAACTTAAAAAAGGTTGAGTTGATGACAAAGTTAGGTTAAGAATGTCTCGCCGTATGTATGAACCAGGCATATCTGCCAGCCGTGGTGTTTTTCTTCTCGAAACGGCACGTGGCTGATTTGGATTGTTTTTGCATTCTTCTGAATTTCTGCATGTCGGACACAGTGGATCAGAAAAGTTTTTCAATGGTTTAATTTTATGTCCTGCTTTTTCTGACACGATTAGACGAGATACGTAATCATCATGGTACATATATCATATAGGATGGGGTCAGTATTGTACGATATGTTGAGTCTCAATGCTATAAAAATTTTATTTTTATGTGTTGCTTAATTTCACTTTTTTTAAATAAAAAATAGATCAATAAAAATAACAAATTCATGCCAACAGCATTGCTAGTTCTCGACAGTAATTTTTTACATCTAATTAATTGATTTATTTCACTCAATTATAAAAAAAACTGTACAAGGTAACATTTATTTTAAAATGGAAAAAGAAATTTACGTGATAATCCTAGCCATTAATTATGTATACTTTTATTTATTGCTGTGCTGTGAGATGAAATTTAGCAAAATGATTCATTTTCCCGAAAAAGAAAAGGGGAAAAACGATTCGGTAATTGTGGAAGGCAATATATATATATAAGGTAAAAGGCAATATTTTATTTTCTTATAAATCTATTGAAAAAGAAATTTCTAACTCTAAAAATCTTTTAAATTTAAGAGTCGTAATTTAGCCATAAATTCCATTTTTTTTAGGTATTTAACGTTTAAGTCAACTAATTATTAGCTTAAGTACACACTTGACCTCATCCTTTTATTATTGTGTTCTAAATTTGATGGGGTCAATTAAGTAAAAATATAAAAAAATTAGATTAATTTAACTCCTAATAATTTTATTAAAAAGGTGGATCCGTCTTGATCGTACTTATGTGGGACTTGCATTTTCTTTTGATATTGATTGGCATTAAGTTACATGGGAAGGGAACATGCATGCGTTTAAACATCTGTTCTTTGTGTTATGCACATCAACAGTCTTCTAATTTTTTTATTTTTTATTTATACCGGATAAAGATGATTATAAGGAATAAATTTTAACAAATAAATAAATACAATTTATTAGCGTAAAATTAGTCTCTTTTTTTCGTTTTATGTAGAATCATCCTTTTTTACAGGCTACACCTCTTTCTGGAGAAACATGTATTGAAGGGACTGTCATTTGTCCACCAATGGAACAGAAATCGGTGTAGAAATTTGATGGGGGTGATGAAAATAAGATTTTTTTAAATCATTGTCAGATGAATATATTAATTTCAATATGGTACGTAAGTCATTGGAATATGTGTTTGGTGGGGTGCCCGTGGGCCCATAGATAGTGGATCTTCCTTTTCTTTTGCCATCTTCATCTTGATTTTCGTGTGCGTGCATATACTGCTGTTCTGTTCGCAACCACAACCAAAGGATCGGTATAGGGTTTCAATTGTATGGCAGGTTGTTGATTAACTTTTTTATAACGATGACTAATTGATTTTTGACATTGCAGTCCATTTCACCATATAGCGGACACTACCGGCCAACGGAAGATAGCTTTGAAAGCTTTTTATCCTTTCTCAAGGATAATGGGGTCAATCTTGATGAAGTCCAGGTAATTATTTTGTCTTATAATGTACTCTCTAAAGAAGTATCTGACTTCAAAAGTCCTGGGAAAATTGTAGCTATTTGAACCCTGATGTAGCCCGGTCCTTGTAAAGGTGATTGGCCGATGGCCATGATACTTGCTATCATCTTCGCAAGGGACCATAGCCTTTTGAATTTTGTCTGCTGGCATTGTTTTTTTTTGTCTTTGTTAGTGGCCCAGTTATTCATGGCATGAGTTCCATTGTGTCTTGCTCCAGATAAACAAGGCTAGTGAAGATTCTGACGCCTATGACGATGGCAAATATAATGGAAGTGGGAGGATAACTGAAGTTAAGAAGAATCTGGAGCTTCCTAAGCTCAAAATTCTCGATGTAGAGAAGGATTCTATCTCTGAATTGCCAGAAGTTAAACAAACTGAAAAATACAAAAGGACCTTATCTGGTGGCCTTCAAAGCCCGAGAGCTGAGGTGCCCAAGACGGCTATACTGCAACGAATCAATTCCAAGAAAGCGGCAAAATCAAACCAATTAGGGCATCAGATCTCTCTCAAGTGGTCAACGGGGCTTGGCCCAAGAATTGGGTGTGTTGCTGACTACCCAGTAGAAGTTAGAGTACAGGCCTTGGAGTTTGTCAATCTATCTCCACGAACACCACGCACTCCCACTAACTGGCGCATTGCTGGTCTTGCATCACCTGCAGCTCAACCCACCCCAGATTTGCTAAACGGTGATGGGACCTCTCACTAGCTCTCATTTTACAGACTTTTGCCTAATGGATTGTCATGTGAATGCTAATAAAAAATAATAATAAATAAATGCTAATGACGTCTTATTTGGGTCTAATTGCATTCCAAGTTCATGATCATTATCAATCCACTACCATGAAAATTTTATATTTTAGATAGGGTAACGCATGCGTGTCTAAGCCAATCGACGCAATCCATGTATCTTAGATTTGACAATGTTCCCAGGCAAGCAAAATGCTGCAAACGTCAGTCACGACAAGTCAGCATCTCAATATTGATGCGCGGCTCGCAATTTCTCTCGTGTCTTCTTCTTGCTTGATAATAGATTTGGCAAACACGTGAAGGGGTTAAAAGAAGGTTTGCTGGCGTGGAAATTGGTCCTGAAGAACCTTCTCATTTCGTTCTCACCATTACTTCCTTTACCAGAGTTCCATCATTAAAACTGTCATCTTTTATGGGATATGTGAGATATGGATTTGTGACGAATGATAGGTAATGGTGGCATGGCAACAATCATATCTATAGATAAGCTGGCACTAAAAAGAATAAGAGAGGGTGTGACAAAATGGAATATTTAATGCAGAATAATTTTGTTATTTCAAAATGAAAGAAAGAAAAGGAAAAGGATTTAAGGAGTTGGGGTATCATACGACGAGTGCTGTGCTAATATCATCACCCATTTAGAACCTGTGGGGCTGGGGTAGAAGTTACGGACTTTAAACTAAATCATGTGGTTGAGGCCCATGTATTTAAGTTAATGCCATGCTAGCGCAAACAATTCCTTATTTGGGCTAGCTGGTCAGATGGCCCGATAGCAGGATTCTTATGAAAGGTTAATTGGAAAACCCCTACAATAACATCTTCGTTTGTACCAATTTGACAAATTAATTCCTATATAAAAAATCTGATCAAAATTTACTATGCATTTGTAAAATTTATTCCATTCAATCCAATTGAACTAAATTTAGAGATGAACACTAACTAAAAAAAATTATATGTATTTGTTCTTGGCGCATTAAGAGGAACAAAGTTAAACAATAAAAATCACACAATAAATAAATTCATTATAAAATAAAATAATAATAGATTGAAAAATTTTATAATGATCATAAAAAATAATAATAATAAATAAAATCATGTTACTGTAATTTCATAGTATATAGATGATTAAGCCATTCAAGTTATCATAATTAAATAAGTTGAAGATGACTAGATTAAAACATAAATTAGATTAAAACATAATTTGAGATAATACCGTTATCTGAAGAATTTATCACATACAATATATCAATCATATATTATATATCATCTTAGAAATACAATAGCTAAACTATTTTGCTTAACTTTATAAATATGCACCGCTTATAAAGCAAAAAGCTCTATAACCTATATATAGTACTTTTCTTTATCCAAGAAACTACAACATAAAATATATGAAATAATGTATAATTGAAAACAAGTCACAAATAATTTTTTTCCATGTACACTACTATCTTTTGGAATAAAGCATACACCCTTTATGCATAGGTGCTAGACTAAACAAATAAATAAATCATATAGCTGTTAGGGGTAATGTCCTCATAAAATTTAAAACATTATAAATCGTTTCTTGTTAAATATTAGAAAACTTTTAAACCAAATAAATTGGTTTTATAAAGTGTTGTTGGTAAATAGAAGATATTATTATTTTAATAATTAAAAATAAATGAATAAAAGTTTTTTTTTATATAAAATATTCCAATAAAAAGAAATGAAAAACTTTAATTATTTTTTAAAAAATTGTTTATAGAATAAAAATAATATTTTCCAAAAATATAAAATCTTAAAAATAAATCAGTCATTAAAAATTTTTAAAATGTTTTAAGGAAAAAAACTTAATCTGTTGAAAATTTAAGAAATTAAAAAACCTTCTTTATTTATCGAAAAATTAAAAAAAATTAATGACTGAAATTTTTCAAAATTTTTATTCTAACCATTTTGATTTTTTCTTTATTTCTTAAACATCTTCAAAAGTTTAGGTTTTTTTCAAAATTTTATTTTTAATTTCTTAAACCATTTAAAAAAGTTTAATGACCAAGAATTATTAGAATTTTTTTTATTTATGAAGAGCAAAAAAATAATAAATATTAATTTCTTTTTCCTAAACCATTTACAAAAACTTTGTATTCTTAAAAAATAAAATAAATAAAATTTTAATTGCGTGTTTGCTTCATATGCAAATGTTTGAAGTACTCATCTCTAAACATGCTAAAAATGACTTTCGGATCTATTTATTATGTATCACATACCAATTTAGTAATTTGATAACAATTCTATTATATACACATATAGATATGATACAATCTAATGAGTTTAAGAATTTTAAAGATTAGTGATTTCATGGTTTTTTATGCCGAAAAATTTACGAGTAGAGATCTGGCTTACGGAGATCCTTCTTACTCAAGTTACTTGCAAAACAAATCCCTCTAATGGATAGAAAACCCCTTTGATGGCTAAGTTAGGGATCGAAGATAGGAGATACCTTAGTATGTTTTACGTGCATCTCTTTATGTGTGTGAGAGATAGTGAACGGTGATATAAAGTAAAAAGAGCAAGGTGGAAACCTAGCACTGTTGTTGCTTAAGGTTCTTATATAAACAAGACTTCTATCAAGTTATATAGTACCGAAGGAGGTAGAATGGTCTATTCTTTCGTTGTCAATAATCTCTAGGGCCAAATCAAAGGCCCTATCTTCTATTTTGATGATGATCTTTTCTCTAATGGTGTCGGCATCGTTGTGATTGGTATTGATTAGATAAAGGCAAAGCTGAAGGATGTCTTCATCAAATACATGTCTTTTTTATGGTGATAGTGGGTGAGAAGTATCGTCTTCGTCTAAAATAAACGTGCAAGATAACTTGAATCGTGATGTCCTACCGAGGCACTAGCCTATCCTTGGTTGGTTATTGGTCTTAACAAGAGGTCCTACCATCAATTGAGGTCTTCTTAAAGGTACTTGAATTACACATTTCATCTGGACTCATCGGTAGCCCATTTGAGTCTTAAAAAGCATGATCGATTGAGATTAGTGTGATATGGTCGAGCTCTTTAAGGAATATCCCCAACATTCGAGGAGTTGTCTTTTACTTATTTTATTTTTGCTTTAGTTGATAGAGATGAGTTGTCATTTAATGTCTAGTATTTCAAAAACTCTATTGTGTCATAAGGAAGATTAAATATTCACATGCAAGTGAACCTTGGAGGGGTGGAAAGGCTATGGCCTTTATATTTTTCAAAAATCCATTGATTGTTGTCTTCATTAGTTGGCGCATTAGACCCACTATCATTTTTATTTGGCTTGGGATTTTAGAAAGGGTTCTAATTTGTAATAAATTTATTGTTAAAGCTTTTCTTAGTCTAGTGTGGAGGTTCTTTACCCGAACTAGTAGTTTTACCAAAAAAAAAAAAAGTCTTTTTTTCCAATAGATTATCGAAATTTTTGATAAGTAACCCTCACTTTTTGCCCATACTTATTTGTTTGGGCAAGAATGGTAGATTTAAAGAGGGTCAAGAGTGCATCTAGAACTGTTCCAAGTTGGAGTTCAAGAGAGAAGACATGTTATAATATGGGTGAAATAGCCTCTCTTAGAAGTGTATAAGGGTTTATGTGTTTGCTTAGTAGATGTATGCCTAGCGAGGTATCTCGTGAACATGATTGCTACTTTTGGTCATCGTATAGGATATGATTGTCTTTATATTTTTGCCTATCGAGATGACAAGATAAGCAAATCATCTATTAGAGCTATTTAGGAGAATCTAGATATAGTTTTTCCTATATGTATGTTGGACTACAAGTCTATCCTTCCTTTGTCCAGTGTTTAACATTTTTTTAGTATTTTGATTTATGTGTTAGCCAAATTCATTCAAATGGATGGGTTGTTCTAATTTTTTTTAAGAACTTTTTTAGGTGGTTTGGGGTTACTCCACCCTCAAGCGTTTTAGATATTTGCATCAATTGGGTAGGGGTATTAGAGAAAGAATAAGAAAGGATTGTGTATACACCATTTTAGCTAAAAATTTAGGTTTATTAAAATGAGTGTTTGTGAGAGTTACTATTCGATCGGTTTAGAAGGAGGAGTTGTTTATGGTGAGATATAGAGGTAGTGATCCACAAGTAAATGTTGGAGAATTTTGAGATGTATCTCTTTATGGAGGATGCCTCGAGGTGATTTTAATACAATCCTTATCCAAATTGATGCTTAAGCATACTTTTTAGGATATGGTGAGGAGCAAGGGTGGTATATTTTAGGTCAACTTTCTTACCAAAAGGTTATTGTTGACTCGTAATTTATAGGATAGATAACTAAATTTTAAATATTGATAAACATTTGTTGATTTATCTTAGAATCATGATTACCGAGTTCTTTCTTTCGATTTTTACTGTTGACCAAACATTCGGATAAGAGGTCGATTTTAGTTAGTTTATAATAAATCCTTAAATTTCTCATATGAAGAATGTTAGCATTGAGGAGCCTCTATTAAAACTAATTTTTTCTTCTCCAACTCTCGAGGTAGTTACTATTAAGGAAATAGGCACAACTCTTGATGAGGTAGGTGTCAATTTGGTTAAAGGGAAACAAGTTGGGTTTGGTATCCTTAGGATGAAGGGTACCTCTATGTGTTCTAATTTGAGATAAGTTATTCCTCCTAAGGTTCAACTCTGTCGTTAAAAGAGTTAAGGCTTTTGTAGTCATGCTAGATGACGAGGCTTCCATCCCTACTGGTGAGGATTTTATTCGAATTGGAGAGACTCTTTAGGCCATTAAGTGTATAGGAAAAGAAATCGATGGAGTTCATATTCGTAAGTCGGGTATTGGGTTTGCTTGTACTTTATTACCTTCTTTATCTATAAAGAATGAGGAAAGAGTTGCTTAAAGTTGTTGTTTTATTAAGGAATAAAAAAGGTTAAAATCTTTTTGTATGCTCGGGAAAATTTCCTTGTTTCTTGCTAATGTGAATCCT